CGTGTAAGTCGAATTCGCGTACGTCAGGGTACAATTTTGCATGAAAAGGCATAAGAAGTAAATTCAATTGGGACCGGAGACTAAATAAAACAATAATTTAGGATATAAATGTGTAACTAATTGTAGATAATACGAACTATACTATTATAAACTGCATAAACACAATCCGAAATTATTTTCATAAAATCTAACAAAGTCGTCTGACGAGTCAATGATTTTTGCTTCTCCCGTAATAATTATCTCCTCGTAGCATTCTAGTAATTGTTATTTATTCCTTGTTTTGTATTATTTTTTTTATTCCTTGTTTTGTAACAGAGATGCGCGCTTTGTTGGGAGTATATGCTTTCCAAAATTGTCAACCTTTTGTCTATTCAACTGAGGGCTACCTTGACTGCGCACACGTTCACAGAAAAGACGAATAGACGAGAAAAATAAAAAAAAAATAGTGTAACTCCGAATTCGTGTATGACGAGATAGCTTAAGTCGGGCAATTACTGTACTAGATAACTGATAAACAAACTTTAACATACTTTTCCTTTGTAAATAAATACATAACATACATATAATATATAAACAAACAGACACTCTGTTCATCACACAATATTTTTCCAGTAATGTGGATTGAACCCACACCTTCCTGCGCAGAAGGTAGGTACACTACCCATAGCGCCATTGGGGTCATCAAAAAAATAGGCAGTCACGGGACGCCCGGCAGATGTGAAACGTTCAAGTTAAAATAAGAATTAATTAATTGACAATAATAATGACGAGTGTTCAAGTAGGTTGACGTAGGTTTCAAGTAGAATAGACAAATAATTAACTCAACAATCCATAAGCAGACTATTTAATTATAAAAAAAACTATATCTATATAATTAAAACTAACAACTATTTAAACAAAAGGGAAAAACTCAACAAAAATAAAAATGTGTAAAAATAGGTGGGTCGTGTGTTCCCCCACACCCTAGCCACCGAGTATGCATCAAAGTCCTCCTAAGACTTTCTTGTAGCGTCCGTAGCGAAGTCCATACAATAGCACAGCGTAAACGGCAACAGGTAAGCGAGTAGGATGCTTGGATTCTGCAGGGAGAAGGCAGGTGATACTCCGGCCAACAACTTTGCGTCAGCAACGCGGCATAAGCAACAGAAGCTGTGCAGCATGAAGGTGGAGAGAACTTGGAACGCAGCCACACCTTGACTTAAACAGCAGTCAGAAAATGTATTAAGCGTGGAGCCGACAGCACTATTTATAACCCTTCCACGCGAGGGAAATCATACATCGTCGACACTTAGTAATTTACACAACCATTATATAATATAAACATCTGAGGACTAAAACATTATAATATTGCGAATTAATTTTAACGAAAATCAAGGATAGTCGACTTCGTGATTAGCATAGCATAGTTAAGTAACAACGTATTACAAATTGAACTTATAACGGCGTAGATCTGCTAACACTTAAAGTATCCTTAGCTACTGAAATACCCAATTTCTGGGGTCGCACACAACAAAAGAAAAATTAGGTATTTAGTACAGAAAGCGGTTGATCTGTGGATAAAATAGTTTGCCGGTCCAAATAAATTGAACAGAGAAGCGAACGTAGCTGTTGTCGTTAGCAGTTGTTTATTTCAGAATGATCGCAACTGAACTTCACCTCTTGAAAATGGTCTCAGAATTCTTTGAGCACCTCCCTAATTAAGTACCTACTGTTAGCTATACTTTGTTTTATCAAGCTAAGAAGGTAGAAATATAAATACTTTTATCAAATCACCGTAGTTTCACTTTGAACAACAATAACACTGGTATAATTACTTATTTTATCATTTTAATATCACTAATGAAACACCACTCTAACGATTTAATTTGTGATACTGATTGGGCAGCATCATATCGCGTATACTTCTTGCTGACAGCCAGAGAAAGACGAAGACGACAACGAAGACCATGAAATGCTTCATGCAGCTACATTTATACGTCATAGAATGACTCTTCTTTTAGTGTTACCAACAACTTCAAGGAACGACTTCCTTTAGTGTTGCCAACACTACTATTATAAAGCAAATCGCGTAAGTGAATTAGCGGATCGAAAGATTAAATTGGAGATCGATAATTGATTTAAAATAATTTATTTCTCTTTACTTGATCGACATATTCGCTTATATATTTAATTATGATAATATTATAATAATATTAATATAAATAATGTTACTAAAGGAAAATTATCATTCAAGAAAACATATTTAATACCTTTATGTGAGCAGTAAACTTGTTAAGTATACTAAAAATATTCAAAAAAACAATTGTTGTTTGAAATGATTAGCAGTAGCTCATAAGATATACACACTAATTTTAAATGAAGTAACTGTAACGACGATAAAACATAGATATTATAAACTAGCTACCCTGGCTTCGCACGGGTGCAATGTATTATACATATAAACCTTAATCTTTAATCACTGTATCTAGAAACAAAAAAATTGCATCAAGATCCATTGCGTAGTTTTAAAGATCTAAGCATACATAGGGATAGACAGATAGCGGGACGACTTTGTTTTATACTATGTAGTGAATAAGTCTTGATACTTAATTTAGCAGGTGCAATAACTGTGAATAATCAAATTAATATGATACCGACCAAACGGTCCGACACCAGGTATATAAAAAAAATAAAGTAACAGTTTAGATGTAAGTGTAGTAATAGATGCTGGCAAACTAACAATGCTCAGAGCATATGCAATACGCGGCCTCAATGTGGATTAGTGGACTTAACATATCTTCGATTTTTTTTTTTATATATCAAAAAATGCGCGTTTCTTCACGATGTTTCCTTTTATGATCTTATTATCTTACTTAAAACTAACTATTTCATTGGTACCGCCACCGGGGATTAAACTCAGGTTGCTCGAGTTTATTAATTAAAGGCGAGTGCCCGAACACTGAGTTATCACGGTTGACTTATCTATCACCAGGTATGTGTTATCTAAGAAATGGAAATATGAAATTTGTGCTTACCAAAACAGTTTATAATTACTTTCAATTCTTAGTTTGATACCGCGTGTATGCATCCTTTTCAAACTTGCCATCGCACTACCATCGCATACACATACCATAGCATGACAAACCTAAATAAATCAATTGTTTCCTCCACGATTATGCGTAACTGTTTATGCACGACAAAATCCAATAATAAATTTCGCTTTAGCGTTGCCATTGTGACGTGAATATAAAATCCAAGTTAGTCATATTAAACTACATAAATTATGAAACCATGGTGTATCAAAAAATATGGTAACACTAAATTTCTTTATTGGCAAAATGTGGCGAACTAAAGTGGCCAATCTTCTTCATTTTGTTTCGTACATAATGCTGTTATTGTGAAACTTAGGAGGATAATAATGTTAAACTTTCTAGGCATTTTCAATGCCTACGAATCTGAAGTTTATCTTGGTTTCCACACCATTAAACATGAAATTGCTTCTGAGCCCGAAATGATAATATACACGCGATCTAAATGGTTCACAGACACAACGAAAATGTTTTTTATTTTGTGTCTCATATATACTTACTTGGACATTAATAGATTAAACGTATGCTTAAAATGTTTACAAAATTTGCTTTGTTTATTTATTTGTCAAGGAATTATTTTTTTATATGTTATGTTGTGTTTTATACCATGATCCTTATTAAATATAGAGTTATATTATATTTTTTAAAGAGATTGAGGCATTATGTGTCCAAAACCAAAAAAGATGGGGATCAAACACTACTTACTAAAACAATAATACGGCAGCTACTGCCTCCATAAATGTTAAATAAAAAATTAAAGAATATAATAATGCAATGAATAAATTTAAGAGGTGAGAGAAGATGATTTATGAAAGTATTCCAATAATATTGTTACATTTCAAGGTTTTGTGTATACAGTAATCGAAAAGACAAAACCAATATTACCTACGGAACCCTTCGTGCGTGATTCCGACTCGCACTTGGCCGATTTTTATTTAAAATTTATATAAATTTACAACCTTCATGATTTAAAGGAACAGAATTAAATCATTTAAAGATAATATATAGTTAACTATAGTGTCATCCAATTCAACTGAAGCTATTATATAGCATTTTATCGCACAAATATTCAAAGTGGTTCTTTAAGTTGATGTAACTTTTTTATTTATGAATCGATTTTAATAAAACTAAGCACTATGCATTAGTGTAAGTTGCAAATCGGTTAAGCCGTTTTTACGATTAGCACGCACAAACGCACAGACAAACAGATGAACAGACAAAACTTTTAACAATCATTGTTTTGTGTTCTACTGCGTTGACAAAGGCCCCCAATAATAGTTTTTTCCCAAATACATGTACAGACAACAATCATACTGATCATTTTTATTACATATATAGATTGTCAAAAGACGCGAGAAGAAAACAATTTGAATACCCAAAATTAATCACCATTAAACTAATTAGCACCAACTGAAATGAAACAAGTATGCTTTTGTAAATATGATTATTATATCTTTTAACAATAAGCATTTCTAGAAACAAATTTTATGGTTAAAAACTCGATTCGACCGATATCCTATTTTATTTGTTTATATACAATGTATGTACAATGATATCAAGAAAAAATATACCCGAATACACTCCAATGTAGTTATATAGTTGGATATAAAACGAAATCGTAAATCATTTCTTATTTTGATGTCACTCAATCTTAAGAAAAATTTAAACAATGTCTTGTTAGTTAAAACAATACAATACAAAACATCACAATAGAAAATGATTCGAATATAAAAATGAAACGAATTATGTTTTATATTATATTATTATTATCGAAAAGGTAGGTATTGAAAACATAAGCATGGATTCATAGTTCTTACATTTAAATTTTATCCGATTATGCGGTATTATCCATTTACATAACACAGATGAGAAATAGTATTTATGAAAAATTCAGTCTTTGCCTCATTTACATGGAAAACTTATATTAATTTACACTTGACTGTGGGCAAACGTTTCAAAGGTATCAATATGAGGCCAGTCTGATAATTTCATAAAAGCAGTTTTTGACGAGAACTTACAATCAATACTATTCTTGCTTTTGAACTGATTAACTTTATATTTATGAGCTCTCTTACGGATTTGAGAATCTTTAAACAAAATATCAATAACCTTGCTCCAAAAATTAAATTCGTTCCATAACACAGATATCTGTTTATCCCGTTGTTCCTTAAGAAAAGCATATATAGAATTATCAGAACCGGTATCCACAAAAACGTAAACGGTGTTTTTTGCTTGTAACATTTCTCCTAGAATTTTTTTAATATTAACGTGGCTATAAATAGTCATTAAATAATTTGGTGAAAATATAACAAGCGTGACATCAACATAATTTCCGCGTTTCATTTTATCGAAATTTGTTTTGTCATTGATGGTAATCACAGGTATCATGAGCAGTTTGATATCTTTACAATTTTGCAAACCTGGTACTATTTCTTTTAGTACAAATTCTTCATCGACTATTGAATATTTGAGTGCAACTTGCCTTCCTCTCTGGATTTCAGAAGTAGATTGGATAAGCCCGAAACACATTCTCTTTAGGAAAGAATTAATTTTCCTTTTATAAATTAAGTAAATAACCGTTATTATTGTAGCTATAACTATGAATGTTGTTGTACTAAAAATAATAACATAAAAGGCTGTGTAGCACACTATCCTAGGAGACCATAAAGAGCATTGAATGGAGTCGATGTCAATAATCTGAAATTTAACATCATATTTTAATTGTTAACACATTGAACACACAGTTATTGAATCATAATTACAGTACTGTTATGTGTACATATTTATAAATACCTTCGCTTTCCAGTGTGTTTGAATAAAATCAAGAAACCATATATTTTTACAATCACAACCAAAATCGTTATTACCAATCCAAACTTCTTTTAAAGGTGTGCTAATTGCAGTTTTATAATTTTGGGATATTGCAATGTCTTCGCAATCCTAAAACAAATTATTAAAAATTAATTGTCTCACTAATGTTAGTCGTTCATTGCATAGAAATTATTTCAAGTAAAATATTTATTTAAAAGGAATTATCATAATTTAGAATAATTCGTTTTGAAATAAAATCGTTTTAAAGTTTTTACGTACCCATAATGTTTTAATGGAATTAAATCTCAAATCTATTATTTGATGACCGTTTGTCCACCAGTCTACAAACGCTTTCTTGAATTTATTGTGACTTAAATTAAGCATCTTTAAGTTATGCGTAAATATTAGAGGTGAGTTTCTTTTGATCATCCATGAATTATTGACCAATACTTTGCTCTCAAAATTTAATTCATTGAATGCAAATGATAATGAAATGCTTTGTTTATTGTTTTCAAATAAATTTGAAGAAATGAAATTAAGCTTATTTCTTTCCATATTTAAATAAGTAAGACTTAATAAGGACGAAAAGGTTACCCTGAAAATAAACACTTTTATTAAATTGTAATAATAAGCAAACATATTTGCACACTCTAGAAAACTATATCATTAAGTAATTTAAATTAAATGTAACTTACCCCGATATTTCTTTAATTGTGTTACAACATAAATTCAATCTTTCCAGTTTGACTAGCGATGAAAATAACTTTGTGCCAAGGGTTCTTAAACGATTATAACTAAGATCGAGATCTACTAAATTAATTTGATTATTGAACACCGACTCTGGTAAATTATTAATCTCGTTGTGTGCCATCGATATGTTGGTAATATATGACGAATTGATAAATAGATCGTATGTAATTATTTCTATTCCACATCTCTGAATATGTACTTTTTTGAGATTAGGTAAGTTTCCCAAAAAGAGTTTAGGTAGCTGTGTCAGTTTGACATTGTTGTTCAGAATAATTACCGTACTAAGCAATTTGTTTCGGAAAAATAAAGTTTGAGGCATGGTAGAAAATCTGTTCGAGAATAAAGTCAACTTTTTGAGATTTTTTAAGGGATAAAATATTTCTGTCGGCAATTCGCTTAGAAGATTCGAGCTTAAGTCTAATTCTTCCAGTGAGTCTACACTTGCGAAAAAGTCTTTAGAGAAAGCACAGATGTTACTTTGCCACAACGAAAGCTTCCTCAGATATGTCAAATGCTCAAATACATTACTTGATACATTTGCCATTTGATTGTGGCTTATTTCTAAAGTGTCTAGTTTTTTCAAGGGTGTAAATAATTCTTCACTGATAGCAACAGATTTCATTCGCATATTTAACCATCGAAGATTATTTAAATCTAAAAATAGATTATCTGGTAAATAGGTTGCACTATTCACGGAGAGTGACAATTTTGTTAAATCTTGTAATCCCATAAAATGTTTCCTTTGAAAATCTAGAGAAAGATTGTTATTACTTTGAAATATAAGTGTCATTGTTTTGTTAACACCTAAAATATTGAGTACTTTCTGAAAAGAAGTCGTTGGAAGAGGACAATTTATAAAAGTAACTGACGTAAAGTTACTTAAGTGATTAATACTGTTTGGAAGTTCGTTATAATTAAACTTTGTAATGTTTTCACATCTGACATTCACGTAAACGCCCGGTAATATATCAATTTTCACCGAATTACCTGAAAAAAAAAAAAGATAATCTCTTTTATTAGAATAAACTATAATATATTACACATAAATTATATTAATCACTTATACGCTTTACCGCTCAAAGTATTAATTTTTACTGACTTACGAGTATGATTAGATGCGTTAATGTGTTCGAAAGCGTCTCTTTCTTCTAAGAGATATCTACTGAATATGGGGTACAAAAACCCAGCCAGGAAAATTGAACTATCAAAGGACAAGTAGGTTTAAAACGGTTTTTTATGTGAAAAGTTGCCAAGCAAGCAGGTGGTTCACCTAATGTTAAGTGAATATCAGCCGCCTATGGACATTTGTTACACCCGAGCGTCTGTAGATGCGAGACAACCTTTTAAAAAGTGAGCCCGGCTACCTCACTCACCAGACGGAACGCGAAAATATTATACTTCCACTTCACGCCGGTCTTCTGTGAGGGCGTGGTACTTCCCCGGACGAGTCTGCTCATTTGTACAACAGCAGAAGCTGCTGCGTTGGCCTATCACAGTTGTTTGTCTATCAAAAATAAATCTTAACAAAATAAAAAAATCTGAACATAAATTTATATTACATTTTAAAGTTGAATTAAAAGTGTTCTTACCATTGCCGATACAATCAACTTTAATGCTCAATGTTCCGCCGCAGTAGCAGTTCTTATAACCTGGGCAAAACGGCATCACTGCTCCAATGTAGTGTAGAGTTAACACTACCAATAGCCCATTAATCATAATATGACGATCCATTGGTAATATTCTTATACGCATTTGTTGGTTATTTATTTAATCTTCTTAAATTTATATTCAAGTGTTCTTATTACATATTTCATGTATGAAATTATAACCTGGAAATTAAAAATGTATTATTTTCGGAGGTACGGTAATTTATGTAAATGCCTCAATGTCACTTAAGATCCTTCATGGAAATTAATATTGACTTAATTTTATTTATTATTATAATTAATTAGTTAATATTGAATTAATATTAACAATATTTATACAATTTAATATTAAATAATGGTGTCAATATAATAACTTCATACTCATGAAATATTTATTATGTAATATGTTTTAAAAACTACACCCCTGATTTCTTCTTAACATTCTTAAATAATAAAATAATCAGTTGGTAAACAAGAAAGCTCAATTAAATTTAGTTTTATTGCCTTCTTAGAAAATTAAACATTAAGAGCTTAAGACTGTATCCAAAAAGTCCTATAATGGATATGAATTATTTCCTTAATTTGACTGCGATAGGACGGAGTAAAATAAATATAAATAACAGAACGACTATTTGTCTTGTAACCGTTTAAAACGGATAGTAGTGTATTATAAATCACATAAAATTAAGTAATGCACTGTGTCATATTTATATGAAAATACGGAAGCATCTGATGTATCCAGAAAGTCCATGGTGCGGATAAATTACAACATTAATATATCTCTGTACAATTATATAGAGGTATTCGTACTGTATGACTGAATCCCGTTTAAAAAATATAAAATGGAAAATTTGATTTCAAAAGGAACTAAAAATGTCAATTAAATATCACTACTCTTTATACCGTTTAAAACCTGTAGCTACTGACAACCTAAGAAGAATAAAGGCTTTCATGATTGTTTTTATAAAATTTTACTTATACTCAAAATTATTTTTAAATAACATTACCAATTAATAATTATTGTAATAATTTTAACGCTTCTTTTTAAATGTATTAAAAAACTAAATTTAATTGGTCCGTCTAAAATACCTAAACGAAATTAAAATATAAATTACATTTTTTTTGTTACTTTTGCAATATATTATCATATTCATACGCACTATCATATGTAAGTACACTTTATTGACTTGAAATATTCGATAATATAATGACAGCATAGTCTTACCTCAAAGTGTAACTTCCAAATAAATTATATTATCGTACAGCCAAACTTACAAAATCGATAGATATGTCACTTCATGCATATATTAAGAAAGAACATGGAACTATTTTAGCACTATTGCGTAAAATAATCACTCCGTCACCGACGTAGACTATAGGTAGCAGCGAGTGCTACGCGACGACTGAACGCTACGTGGCGATGCTACAGTCTCGACACACCGATGTGTTGGCAAAATAGAGACACTCGGCTTCGATCGACTTGCAACGGAAGTTACCGAACCCTACTTGTTTACAAATTATATTCGCTCGCTAAAATTTTGCACTCTGTGAAAATTTATAACTTTTGGCTCAAATATTATTATTGCAACAAAAAAAATTATCTATACATCCTATTATTTCACTGTATGAAGTTACGTAGGATAAAACGTAGTGTAATTTTGACTAGCGTGTATGTCCCTAATGTGGATGTAATGTATGCTAAAAATACGTCATAGATATATGTATTTATTGACGTATTTTTAGTATATTACTAATAAGATATATGTATCTTATTAGCGTATTTTTAGCATAACATTATGGAAGGAGTAGATTGATTTATTATTTTTATTGAAAAGAGCACTTGAATAGATTCTACATAACAGAGTTGTTCATAAATCTTTGTAAGTGCCTCCTATTGTTTACTAGCCTGACGTTTAACCCTTTAGAGTTATGGTGATATGGAAAGGGTCCCTTGTCCTACAGGTAATGTTTACTTCAATCGAAGGAATTCGTTACAAATAATAGCATAATTCATCTTTAAACGACTAAAATAAGAAAAAAGTCCCTAAACCAACGAACATTGAAGGTACTGGAAAGATATTGTAATTTTACAATTATAATTATTCTTTATAATAAAATGAATAAAAAGCGCATTTGGATATTTATCCTAAGGCGAGGATGCTGGCGAAGGTATCAAGACGTATTTACCAAGCAACGTTAAAAAATGTATTCTGGATGAAAATCAACTTTTATCACTTCATAGTATAAAACAAAGTCGTCCCGCTGTCTGTCTGTCACTATATATGCTTAGATCTTTAAAACTACGCAACGGATCTTGATGCGAAGACAGACAACGAGAAGCTCCACATCGCTAAGCGAGCTATCGAGCTAGCTAGCTCAGAAGATTAGTAAGCTGAAGTAGCGATGGGCCTGCCATATAGCTCGTAGAATCGAATAAACGATGGGGAAGAAAGGTTCTTGAGCGGCTGCCTCGCTGAAGCGGGCTGAAATGATGTTGAAAAATATTGTTAAAACTGTATCTGTGTTATGTACGTATCGTTTTTAGCAGTTTTCAAATACATGATTTTAGTCCCACTATTACCTATTTTTACCCTTTTTGTATATATATATATATATATATATATATAAATTAGTTCCCGATGTTTCGAATATTCATTATATTAAATATTTTATATATATATATTATTGTTTATGAAATTCCCTTTCCTAACTGATAAATATATTTATATATAATTGTTATATATATGCATAATGATTAGATATTCAGTCAAAAGTCGGAGCTTTTCCTTCTATTCAGACAAATTTATTATTAGCTTGATTGGAACTATATACATAAATATAAATTTAACACTATCTATCGTAACCCATCATTGTCATAAATAATTCATAAGAACTTCTCTTCCCCAGAGTCGCGTCTCATTAAGACGCTCTTGTAGCGTCGGTAGTTAGACATATGTTGTACATCTGAATTCCTGGACACAGTATTCT